ATGAAAGCTGTTTCCCCTGAGATATTCTCGGTGGATGGTGTATTTGCTGAAAATGGAAAATCGATATGCGAGGGCAGCTCTTCCTACGGACAAAGCCAAGTTCAGCTACGAACAAAGCGGGTGAGATTTGCCCATGTCTGACTATTTTCAACCACTTTGTCTCAGTGTTTAGTGACAATCACTTCGTTAGTGTAATATGGATAATATATAGCTGTATTTCAAAAAAGCCCCCGCAAGCTATGTCCTCAAATGGGGCTGCGGATTGCCTCCAAATTCTGTACCATCTGCAGTACAAAACGTATAGTACCTTCAATCGTGTCTTCTCACCTGCCAAACGGTAAGAGGTACGGATTCCCGCCGCATACGCATCACCACGTTCATATGCGCTTGTATGACTCTAGATTGTGGTAAGCAGTCTTGTTGGCCGCATTCACCAGCATCTTCAGTTCGCCCTCATCCCCCAATTGCTCGAACAATTTGTTCTGTTTGGTCAGTATATGACGCAGAGGGCTGGGAGGTCAAGGCTTACGCGTAGCAGCTTTTCCGGTGAATCGCATTTTTTCAGCTCTTCAGGCAGATTTTTTATCTCGGCGCTCCATGGATATTGTGAAGGATTCTTCATGATCAGCCTCTCCACTACCTCAGCTAAGGCAAACAGCTTCATAGTGGCTGCGTCCATCTCGGCTGCATTGATTTGGCAACTATGCTCCACTCCCGCTGCAACATGGTCAACTATCAGAATCTCATGCTCATGTGGCCCGCCACTACTCACCGATCCTGACCTCACCGAGTTCCGTGAGTAGAAGAGTATCGGCACTCAAGGCAGCGAGTGCTCTCCCGTGACTGCGCAGATATTGAATTCCTCCGAGGACCTATCGGGCATGAGCACCGTTTGCTTTCTCGCGTCAACCGTTGAGAGCAGTACGTACCGGCCGAACAATTGCAGCAATTTCATCCTCAGTGATAGTGCATCTTGATGCGAGGATGTGACTTACCGAGAGCTCTACTGGCTCCCGGACCAGAAATACCTGCTCCTCCCAACAATAGCACCCCACCAGACCTAGAAAGCTGGGGTGTGATGCTTGGCTGATTGTTTCCAGCAATGGTTTGACCGATGAGAATTGCTGCTTCAAAAGATGGATATCGACGAGTGTCGCTTTGTCTTTTCTGTGTCGGGCCAGAAAGACTGACTGTCCTTGAGAGATCACCACGATCGCCTCGTACGTCAACCACGGATTTTCGAAGACCGGTTGAATAGTCTGAATTTCAATTTGGCCTTTCTGTAGCGCAGGATGAGGGAGAGAAATTGTAGAAGGGATTATCACTGGATCGGGCTGGGGCCTGGAAGACGGCGCAGAAGGACGAGATGTTCTTTCCAAAGCGGCCCAATCGGGCGTTCCGTCACGCCACAAAGGCTCAGGCCGAGAGGGCTGGCGCTTTATGGGATCCATCCTGCAAGGAATATGATAGACTTGGTATGGCTCAAGGCGTCAATATTGAGAAGTGGGAAAATTTGTACACAGAGACGTTCAGACAATTCCTATTTATATAATGAGGCCATAGAGATGTAAGGTCATGGCTGCCTCGCTGCAGTGCTAGCTTGACACTGGCCTATCGAGCCGAGCGTGACTGTTTGTGTTTATGGCTGTCCAGCTTTGTTAGGTCAAGCGTTCAAAGCTGCGTTAGAAAAACGATCACCGCGGTAAAACCGGCCCTGGAAAGGTCTAACCATGTCTGTTCATGGACTACCCCGCAAAAACTAACTGGTCCAATGCATCCTAAAACCTTTCTAAACATGAACCGGTTGTCTTTACTCAGGAATGGTGCCAAACACGTTGCGCATAGCCCCACGGCAAATCTGATCCTGTGGAATTAATTGATCTCGTGCATTCGTAAACTAGCTTTCGTCTATATCGAACATAAACCTAGGGTAGGAAGCGGTCGGGAACCCGTCTCGACCGAGGTGATCGACGGATAAGGGATGAGCTTGAGGAGACCCGAAGACGGTCTGAACGCCGGGTAGTCTGGGTTGACCGACGCTGCGGAGGTGCTGTTGGAGCATTTAACTCTTCTACTAGTGTGTTTGCGGCATCGAGAGGTGTTTCTGCTGTCGACTCGCCAGTA